AGTGCTTTCGAGACACACACACCCGCGGTGTAAATGTTTGTATGTGTGTATTTGTGATGCAGTCTGATCAGCCTGATCTCAAGAGAAATTTGTACACTGCACATGCTGTGCAAAAATGAAAACACGATTTTCATGCAACATAAAAAATAACAGTAAGAAGTGTAGTGTGCATTAAATGGAAACAATACTCATCAATATATTGGGGAAAAAAATCCTGAAAGATCAGTGCATTAAAGCTGCTTCTCCAGGTTGTGGTAAAGACACGTTGCTAAAATGGGATAAAACTGGGACAAAAGACACAAGATGGCAAAGGTCTTGCAAATCTATCTCAAAAGTTTTAAATCATAGCAAAAAAGAGAGACGGTGAGAGAAAGAGGACTGAGAGACTGTGTGGTGGGGTTTTTTCAGTCCAATGAAATTATAGTTAGAAACAGGATAAGAGTGTAAAACCCTTTAAAGAACAGTGATGGCAGTAATAATTGGTTGAGATACAATTAAGTGTCATGTTTAACTGGCAAAGTCCAAAAAGGCATTCAGTTAGTGGGTTTGGTTAATAAGTGATTCTAAATTGCCCATAGAAGGGAATGTGAATGTTGTAAATCTGGCTCTAGGTTGTTACTTTGGTGGGACTTGAAATCCTTCATCCGTTTCTCCAGAAAGTCCTTGGTCTGCTCTAGAGCTCTGCTGCGAACTGGAAGGCTACTCATGTGCAGTGAGTTCATGTGCCACTCAGCAGGACTGCAGTCCAGAATCAGAGTTCACTCTGAGACTGGGAGACTTACTGAAGATACATCTGATCAGTTATTTATTATCACAAATAATAAGCTATAGTATTAGAGGTAACATTCAAGAAAATATGAGTGAACTCCCACTGTTGCCACAAATATTATCTAGTTCTGTGGGAAACACTGTATTGCAAACCCTGCTAAATAGCAGACAGTGCGAACTCAGCCTGTGACAGTCCTGCCATGAGGGATGGGCGGGTGACAGCATCAGTCAACACATGACAAGGTCAGACCGCCACACCACCAATATTTATGGAGTAGGATATACACAGTTGAGACAAATGGGATAAAGTGCTTTAACCCTCTCACAGGATTATAGCAATGTATGTGGAAAAGAGGATTAGCTTCATCATAAAATCATTCAGTGTCACCTCAATAACCAACTCCTTGATTGATACAGATGTTTCCCAAATATCTTGACGTGAATGTCGGATCATCACGTGCCAGAAACTGAATCCTCAACCCAGGATGTGTTAGTTCCGTGCTTTAGCCACAGGTTTACACTAGTGTAGTTCTTTGTGTCGTATAAAAACCACACATCTCCGGCTTTAAAAGGATGTGAGCAGATAGCGGTGAAGCTGTCCTGCACATATCACATTTCACAGATAAACAATAAAGTATCTCTTGGAAAACTCAAACCATCAACTATACTATCTCCTCACTGTGCTCCCAAAAACACATTCATATATCAGCATTATCCAAACAAAACATGACTGTCTGCTTTCTGCAATCATTACTGCCTTGCAAACGTTGTAAATTACTCCAAATCTCACGGCTGATTGAGTAATTTTACAGACTCAGCGGCCACTCTGCCCCACTTAATTTCCAGATAAGCTGGTGAAATACCTCACAGCTAATAAACATAAAATACATCTATCAGCGCTACAGAAAACACAGCGTGACTGTCTGCGTCTCTGGGATAGGGCTGGGCTGATGTTAGGAATGAATTAGGTTGTGCAGATTAGCCAGGCTATCAGAGCGCGATCGTATTTCAGCGCCTTATTCCACAAGCGATTCGGCTCAGTTTCCTCCGTTTAATATATGGAGAGCATAGAATCGATAAGAGTAGAACAGCCAACCATCAATCACACCATGATAAGGCATGCAGAGCAGCTCTGCTTTTATGCATGTCAGACAGCGGGCTTTAATAAGAGGCTGTGTGTGTGTGTGTGTGTGTGTGTGTGTGTGTGTGTGTGTGTGTGTGTGTGTGTGTGTGTGTGTGTGTGTGTGTGTGACAGACAGAGAAAAGGAGGGAAGTAGTGTAAAGAAAACAAAGACTTACTTTTTTGACAGAAAGAAGAGAGTGTGTAAAAGTTATGGATTACAAAATAAAAGACCCATTAGCTGTGACAAATTTCATGAGATAACTCTTTCAAAGGTTTTATTTTATTTATTTGTTTTCAGGAATGTGTATTGTCAGGAGGGATAAGAGTGTTGCGCCTCAAAGAAATCAAAGCTACCTCAATGTCTAGGATTGTCTACACAGAAAATCTCAACCTCGACTTTTATCAGCAGGAAGTAGCCATCAAAAAACGGTGATATTTTACTAAAAACCACTATAGATGGGGACTTTTGTAATTGCTACATACAGTATAAAACCAGATGTGGTGAATCTTGTATATAATATATTTGGTGGTTTTATTGCTTGTAATAGTTTTCTTTTGGGTTGATATTCCCGTAATAGTTTTGCTGTGTTTATATTCTCATATGTTATTTTTAGTTTTGTTCCTGTTTGTAATATTATTTTGAGCTTTAGTTTAATCCTGCATCCCCCGTTAAGTCTCCATCTCTGCGTTAGGTGTTCTTTTGTTACTTACTTCCTGTTTTACCTAGGCAGTTTGTACTGAGTTTAGCTTCCCTTCTCTTGGTATCCCTGATTTGTTCCTACTAAGATTCCCACCATTTGCCACCTAGCGTTCACATCCTTTGTCACACCCTCTCTCTCAGCTGTGTGTCCTATGGAAGTCTGGGAAAACAACTTTCTGTCTTCACCTCTGTAAATATTTTACTGAAGAATTTAATGTCCGCAGTCTCTGACTCTGGGTCATACTGAATAAAAAATGGAATCTGTTTTGTAATTCTTGGTCATACTCTCAGAACAAATTATCCATAGGATGTTCTTTGGGTAATGACTGGTGATTGACAAGTCAGTGACCAAGCAGTTTCACAGTTAGTCACAGTTTGTTTGAAACGAAGATGGTAGCAATGAAAATGTTGAGGATTTGGAAATGGGACTTAAGAAACCAATCAGTGATATTACGGTACTGTCTATGGTAAATTCCCATCTGTTGCTTCCCGCCTTTCTTTGTGTCTTTTTAGTAAATTAACAGGAATTAATAACTGCGCACCAGCAGCAATGAAGGTTGAGATAAAGCAGCGAAAGCTAACAAACAAGTTATCAAGCTGGTGCAGAAAGTGGACGCAGATGCTAATAAATACTTCAATTTAACTTGAATTTAACTTTACTTGTCAAACCAATTATTTGATATTATGGCTTTAAAAATCTTTCTTCTTTGTTTAAGGATATTTAGACCACACAAACACATGTTCAGCATCTTTGGTTAATAACATCTGACAATCTATGTTGAGTGAGAAAAATAAGTAAGTAAAGTTTATTTATGAAGTGCGTGTCACAAACAACAAAACAGAGTAAAATAAATAAGAAAATGAATAACAGCAATACAAAATCAGCAGCATCGCAGTTTAAAAGTTAGAAGGTGAATCTGGAGACTTCTCAGCTGCTGTGGCTGTTGGCCTCATATGTTATGACTCCCCGCTCTGATTAACATACACATTGTGCAATTGAGAGGTGAGCTGCTTCAAAGCCTGGATGATCAGATTACCTGTTAGCATTAGCATATTAGCCTGAAGCACAGAGTAGGATGGCCTCAGAAGCCTACCTAATATCATTTAGCTTTTAGCACTGCCGTATTAGTGAGGCGCTAAGAGGT